TAATAAATAAATATTATTATATAAATGATTTAAATTATTGTCGAATATTTCTTAATAATTTTGTTAATTAATTTATTAACGTAAATAATTGTGTTGAAAGGTCACAGGAGTATAAAGTAAAAAAAAAACTATTATCAGTTTATTTTTAATTAAAAAGAGAAATTAAATAATTAAAATTAAAAATAATTGTTTTTTAGTAGGTGGTTTTTTTTAAGTTTTCTTTTTTTTTTAACTTAAACAGAAACCTTTGGGGGAATTTTTTGCATATTAAATATAAGGTCTACTCTTTATTCTTAGTGTTCCTCAAGTGTTTTTTTTTTATAGTAATTATGTGTGTGTGTATGTGATTTGTGTTGAGATATATATTTAAAAATAGTTTTTGTACGCTGTTTTGGCCCTTCGTGTGAAAGCTGCCCGATCTACTCTGTCAGTTTATGTGGAAGTCCTTGCTAGATTAGTTCGTGAGTGTCTCTTCGGCCAGTCGGACGTGTTTTTTTTTAAATTCGAATTTTTTTTTTTACCAAAATCGCAAAAGTCTTTAAAAAATATAAATTACCTTTACTTATGTCTATATTGTTCTCAACTATTTGTTAACTGAAATTATTCATTCCCTTAATACTTAATTTATCAATTTATTACTTATTTAATTATACTTAAATATTAAATCAATAATTGTTAAATTATTTACTATTATAATTATAAATTAAAATTCCTCGAAATTAAAACAAATAATATACAAATACATCTATTTTTTTTTTATATTTTTAAAGACATCCTGAAGAAATTTTAATGGTACACAAAAAAAATTATTCGAATCTTTATCTCACCGGATATGATCTTTAGACGGAATTGATAAACTCAAAACGATCAACAAATCTAAAAATAATCCGTTTGTTTAAATAATCGTATATAAGTGAACAAGACTTTTTTTTAGGTCCGGTTTTCCGTATAAGTTAATAAAAAAATCAACAGTTTTTTTTTTTTATATAATCGGGAAAAAACTGCCAATATATTTATGTATAATTTAAAGAAAAAAAAAAAAAAAAAACTTACAACTATACAATATTACGCAATAAAATATATACGATCATTGAAACTGAGATTTGTTGTGAAAATAAATAAGAACACGGATGTTCAATCACTATATACAAAAATAGTTCTGCAAAGACAATATAGTTACAATTTTTTTGTAAAATTATAAAATATAATTTTTTTTTACTTTCATTGTTAAAAATTTTTTTTAAAAATTATTTTATTAAAATATAATTTTTAGTTTAAAAAAAAACGATGAAAACTACACATTTAGGGGAAAAAAGTGTTTATAGTGAAAAGTGATTAGAGAGAAAAAAAAAATTTTTTTTTATTTAAAAAAAAAAAAGAAACTAAAACAATGGATTCTGTGAGAGATTTAAAGAGATTACTCTATGAGAGAACAGAAGCATTAAGAAAACGCGATGAAGCTGTTGAGAATTTGGAAAAGGCCCTTGAGGAACGTGACGCAACAATTCGTTACCTTCAAAATGAAATTGACAAATTTCGTCAAATTGTTGACTTTAATATGGTCACTGGACCATTGGGACCTTATCGAAGGTTGAAACGTCAAGCCATTTCGGCTGAGCCTTTGAAACATGATTCTAAACCAATTCCAAAGTTCAGCAAACCACAAAGGTATACTTAATGTATTCGTTTATTATAATATATATATATACATTATTATAGAGATGAATTTTATTCCAATTTTATCGTCTTTGATATTTCCTGTTACTATATTTATAAAATCCAAGGTTTATTATACTTGAATTTTTAAAATTAAATTCTGATGATGATGATGATGATGAAAAATTATTTTGCGCATGATTAAAATTGAAATTTTCTATAAGAAAATTTTATATAATAATAAATAGAATCAAAAAACATTTAAGTCTTTACTAAATTTTAAGCGCCAAGTGATTTAGAATCTTCTTTATCGATAAATTTTACCAATGTCGGTAAATGTCGGTTACAGGAATCTGTATAAGTTTTTTTTTCTCTTCTACATTGTAAATAGTTTAATTAAATCGAATTTTTTTTAAGTTTCTATGTCAAAATGATGATTTTAAAATGAAATAGTTTTTAACTGATCGAGAAATGTAATACTGAAATTTTTATTCGCTAATCGTAGCAGCATTATATACGGGCGACATTCGAATAGATAATGAGATGTCGAACTTTCACATCACGTCTTTGTCAATGTATATTCGATGGTTCTGAGCATTCTTCATAATATAATTTTGATTTAAACGCAAAACAATCTCTCTTATTATCGAACAACGATCTGAATAATTTAATAATGATAATAATTTTTATTGTCAATTTTCCATATATAATAGACCTCACAAAACGAGAAATTAATTTTACGATTGTCAATTTTACATTCAATTTCCTTTATTATTTCCTCTATAAAATATACAATAAATATAAAATTTAGATGGGAAAATATTCGAAATGAAACTAATTATTTTATTTCTATATGATAAATTTTGATTTTAATTGATTTTTAATGATTTCTATTTATTTGCGATTCAATGGACTTATCTTATTCCTTTCGCTAAAGATTACAAAAATGATGTTTGCAAATGTAGAAGAGACAGAAACTGTGTCACGAGTTAAGAATCATGACCCAGATGCTTGAAACATGTGGAATAGATGCTTTAAAAAAAAAAAAAAAAGTTTTTTTAAAAATAAAATTTCATTTTTTTATAAATTAAAGCATTCAGAAAATTAACACAAAATTATTTTGACAATAATTGTATTTTGTTTAGTATATAATTTATATAGTTATTGGAAAAAAAGTAAATTTTATAAAAAAATAAAAATTTATTTAAATATGATTCTGACAATTATATAAAATTTATAAATAGAGTTTTCGTAAAACAGATGAGTAATAAAATTAAAGAAATATATAATTTCTATTAAAAAAGACTTCCACGAAATTATAATATGCGGTTAGATCAAGTCCATAAATTCGAAATGGAATGTTGCATAACAGAATTAATTAAAGTGTAAAAAAAAAGAATATTTAAGATTTTCTTGGATCCGTGATATAAAATTATATTGAGTATAATTTTCCGCTATATAGTTACTTGATGGAGCTAAAGAACTCGACACATATACATATATATATATATATATAGTAACAGATCTTTTCTGAGCAAACTAATTGTTGTCAATTAGATTTTTTTTTTTGTCTTCTCTTAGTTCACTCACTTTATTTACCACCAGTTTGTCTAGGAAACTTCGTATACAATTGAAAAAATTATATATATTAATTTCAGATTAAGAAAAATTATAAATTAATATTATCAGAAAATAAATTTATTATTTTTATTTATTTAATTATTTTCTTGAACATAAGAAAAAGTGTGAATGAATAATTATCAAAAATTGTGTATAATCATTATCGAATTGCATCAGATTTATTTTAGGGTTAATTGATCTAATCGATGAATATGATATCTTTAAACTAAAAATAAATTTTTTTTTATCTCACAGAGACTACATTAGATGTGTGATATATTTAATATTTCAATTATAATTTAAAAAATTATTTTTACATATTAATAATTATTGTAATTTACCACATTATTTTTTTGGAAGTGCAAATAATTTTAACTGACTTTGAATAAAATTATATTTAATGAATTGTCAACTAACTGTGAAAATAACTGGAAAATACGTTAAAATTAAAAAAAAAACTCAATTTTTTATGAAAGGTTGTTTTCCTTGAAAATGAAAAAATTCTTTCTCCTTCATTCAAAAACGAACTAAATAATTTCCTTCTCATTTATTTCATTGAATACCATTTCTTTTAAGTAAAAAATACTTTTTTCAAATCATATTAACTGGAAAATAACTCGAAAATACGTAAAATTTAAAAAAAACTTATTTTTTATGAAAGAATGTTTTCCTGGAAAACGAAAAAAATCCTTCCTTGTTTCAAAAATAATTTCCTTTTCATTTAATTCATTGACTACTATTTTTTTTAACTAAAATATAGTATATAATAATATATAAGTACGGGTAAGACCTTTTTATAATATGATAAAGTCGAAAGTGTACGTCGATTGTGAGAGAGAATGTTCGCCACCTATGAGTGGTCTGTCGTACTTAAATTTAACGCTAAGAAAGCGCGGCAATATTTGAAACTGACCAACAGGATAAGCTCTTATTTCAAAGAATTCTTAAAGTTCTTAGCTTTGAATTACTAAATTAATTAATTTCTCATTTAAAATGTAAATGAAACCTTAAAAATGACTTAATTAAAATTCATCGTACATTTATACTAGAGCTGTGCAATGTTCGAATCGCATCGAATTTTGTTCGGTTTTTAATGACCCTGACTCGAATTTCGAACTTTCGACATTCGAACTGTACTGACTCGAATGTCGAATTTTCGACATTCGAACTCGGCGTAAAAATTCGGACAGTTCGGTTCGATTTATTTTGCACAGGTCTAATTTATACTACTGACAATTGTTTTCAAAAAAAAAAGGAATAAGAAGTCTCTAAGTAATTACAGATATAAATCATCAATCAGAATAAAAATAATTGTTCCACATCTTTGATAATTTATGGTTTGCCATTTAACTGAAAGGCGATACAATCACTGTATTTTCATTTTGAACATATATAATGTATGTGTTGAATAAGCCCATCATCCGTTACACGGAATAAGTAAACATGACAGAAACTAATGATCCAATGGCTAAGTTTCAAATGTCATCATCAATGTAATTGTAATTTTGAAGATCGTTTTTTTCAATCTTCTTTTTAATTATTTTTTTTAAAGATTTATTTTTAAATATATATTTTTTTTATCTCTTGAAGCTATATATATATATTCTTTTGTTGCGTGTTTCACTCATCTTCTTTTCTTTCATAAAAAAAAAAATACAGCGATGCTCCGTAATAAATGGCGAAGCCCGAGGATAAAAATTAATTCTTCTTTTCACTTTTTCAAGGTCACGCGAGCTGATCAAGGCCGCAATCCTGGACAATGACTTTATGAAGAATTTGGAGCTCACCCAGATCCGGGAGATCGTCGATTGTATGTATCCCGTTACTTTCCCCGCTGGTTCAATTATCATTAGAGAAGGAGATGTTGGGTCCATTGTATTCGTTATGGAAGGTACGATCATCTTTTTTATTAAATTAATCATGTCTCTATTATTCCTTTTATTTTTTTCTTTTTCAATCAGTGAGGAATTTCATTTACATTTGATTACACATTTAATATAATAATTTTATATATAGAAGCTAAATTTTTATATTGAAAATTTAATTGTTATATACTTTATTTATTATTGCCTTTTTTTAAAAAGTAAAATGAAAAAATTATTGAGAATATGGGGGGGATTCGAACCCGAGTTCGATGACCATAAATCAAGAACGCTAACCAACTCGCTACAATGAACTTTGAGAAATTTTTTTTCTTATCTGTACTGTGAACGTTTTTTTTAAATCTGAAAATAAAAAAAAATTATTTTTCCTGTAATGAAAATATTGAAGCTTCTTGTGAATATAATTTTTTTTACATATTATAATAATTTATTGCTCAGTTTAGAAATAATAATATAATGATAAGATAATAAATTGTGTGCGTACAATTTTTCATTAGAGGAAATTATTTCTAATTTTAAGTATACATAATAACTCGACTTCTCAACTATTAAGTCGCGTTTATCTCGCTCTCATTCACTGTAAATTTCAAGGTTCAAGATTTTGCAATTTGTGAGAGATATTAATAATATCCATATAATTATAGAATCTGTAAAAGTACACAGATTCTTTGGATATTATATATATATATATATATATATATATATATATATATATTGATCGAACTAATCGAATATCTTATTTAAAAATTAAAAATTTAAAAAGAAGAACATTAAAATTGAAATTTATTATTAATTTATTTCACTTTCAATGTAAATGATATTATCAAATGAAAACTATTATATAAATGATGTAAGAATTAGGGTTCTCAGAGTAAGAGTTGATTCAAATTGCGGAAGTGAAATAGTAGGTGTGGTTTATAAATGAAATAATTTTTATAACTTACGAGCAAAATTTATACATCTTTTGTTCTGTCTGGGGGACAATTAACTCGATACGCGCGTCTCTTAATTAATGTATAGTCAGAAATTTTTTTTTTTTAATTTATAATGATCTTATTTACTTCAATTCTCAAAGTTTTATTATCATCATTATGTGACAAAAGACAAAAGAAAAATTATGCAAAACAAATATATTTACCAACCTCCCTCTCGCCGCGCTCAAGTAAAACAGTTTTTTTTTTTGAAAACTAATACTGGATTCGTAATCAGCGATCCCAAAAACCCCCGAGTAACAGTTTTCAAGTAAATTTAATAAATTTTTTTAGCCACCATATTGGATCCGCCATTTTGAATTTTTAAAAACGCCATTCGGAATTTAAAATGATTTGTTTTTATTGAAGTGTTAAGATTATGCATGATTTTTGTACACTTCCAATTTTCTTCAGTTGAGAAAGAATGCCTCATACGGAGAGAAATGGAAAAAAGAATAAAGTAACTTTTACTATACTTTAAAAGTAAAACCTGAACTGTCCGCAGTTTCTGGTAATTTTTACTTTAGAAATAGTAAAATTGACTATTTCCGGAATAATTTTTACTATTTCAGGAGTAAATTTTTCAGTTACTAGATTAATTAGTTTTACCAAATTTATTAGTAAGAATTCGTTTTGATTACTAATTGAATCAAATAAAAGAGTTTCATAATACAAATAATAATAAAAAAAAAATAGCACACGATTCACATTAATGGCGCATTTACAACAGCGCAGGAAGTATGGCATAATTTTTGGGCGGGAAATTCAAAACCTCAATTTTAATAAATCAGAATATATATATATATATATTGTATGTACCAACTATTGGCTGCAAGTTATTTTCCTTTACTTGTGAAAATGAGAACCCCTGTCCTTTCTCTAAAGAGTTACTGTCCATATAGTTGGCATAGAGAAGGGTGGGGGGAGAGGGATTTGTATAGTATCCTGAAGAAAAGAGGGGGTTCTCGTGCACGGTCTCGCGGGCGTAGTTTTCACCAGTCGAGAACGCTGTCAGCGTATGTCTGTGTTTCCAAAGGGGACCTTGAGTCTCCAGTCTCTCTCACTATTCTGTTTTCTTATTTATAAGTGACACCAAAAAAAAAGTGCTAAAGTTCCGGAATCAGTTTTTCATCAACTTTTTAATTTATTCATAAATTCAAAAAGAAAAAAAAAACTCGAAATATTGAAATTTTTCACGAAAATTGGCATTAAAACTCAAAATTCGTTTTTTTTTAACTCTAAAGAGAAAAAAAAAAAATTGTGGATGTTTTTTTTTTTAAATTGTGTCAAGAGGAAAAATATTTCGCGGAAGAATATATATATGGATCATTTCGAAATTGTTGTTTTGTAATTTGTCGTAATGATATAATTATTTTGAAATAATTGTGAGGAAATCATCATTATATATGTTTTTAAATAAAATGCTTGTGTGTAGAATTTGAGGGTCACAATGTGTGTGTGTTTTATGGGGAAAATCCCAATGAATTATATATAAAAACAAAATTATCATCGAGATTTGTTTGCTCCATTTGACACGAGGAAATTTCCCCCTTATTTTATAATCAAATGTTGATTATAAAAATGCTCTAATTCTGTGATAATCTGTATAAATACAGTTTTGATTTTGTATTTTTTGGCAAACAGATTTCTGATTTCAAAGAATATTTAAATATTATCGAAAACTGTGATTAATAAAAGGAAGTCATCAAAGAAATATTGTTTAAGGTGTTTGATAAACAAATTATTTTTCCATAATCTGGTTGTGATTGTTGCCAAAAAAAGAAGAAAAGTTTCTGTGATAAACTTTAATAATTATATGAAGATTTTAAATTTTGATCATGAAACTTAACAATATCATTTGAAGAGAACAAAATTTCAAATGATAATGTTTTTAACAAAACCATTTTAAAACGATGGAAAATATTGAATATCATGCACTTTGTTAAAGACGATGATGTTGCATCCGTAAGAATTTTATGGTTTACATATATACATATGTATTTAAAATGAATCAAAAATAACATTGATTTTAAATTGACTGTAATTTTTTATATATATATGACTTATCATATATACGAGGGACAAGAAAAATTTTTTGTTCACCTTCTTTGAAAGAGAAAATTATATTTTTTTGAAAAATGTTGAAACACAATTTTGCCTATGACCATCATACTTCAAATGTTGCTTTCATTCTTCAAGGCTACATCCTTTGAAAGTTCTGCATCCTCTCTTTTGCTTTTAAAATCGCAACCAAACCAGTAAGAAACCATCAAATTTTATCGTTTCTCCTTGCAGAAGCAACGCGGAAGGCAAAGTTTATGAGCGAACAAAGGCTTTTCAAGAGTCGTCATTTTTGAAATGCAAAACTTTTAAAACCTCTCTCTCTGAACATTCAAGATTTTAAAAGCCATATAAGTTTTAGATTTTACTCGAGTTCGAAATTTTTTTTTTTTCATCTTCCCGAATGAAGAAAGAAAATATTATTTCATCTTCAAAATAATCTTACCAAAAAAGTCACAAAAAAAATTGTCACTTTAAAGATTTTTAAACAGCTTTAAAAAAATTAAAGCAAGTATAGAATTTAATAAATTCTTGACTAAGAGTTTAAAAATTAAATCATGAAAGTGAGAAGTTATCCGGGTCGAGCTGTATTGGAGGAACAGGAATTGATTTTGGATCCTGATGCAACTAGAGGACGGGCAATGGAACTTTTGTATGAAGCCAGTTGGAGAGAATGTGATGTAAATTGGATGAATAATTCGCGTGCAAAACCAAGAAATTTACAAAATAATAGTGATGATAAAAGACAACCATATGAAGAGGTGATAAGTCAATTAGAAGGTGTATTGGATGGAGGAGGAAATGTATCTCCATGTTTGAGAGATGTACGTTCACCGAGGTCAAGTAGTAGTACAACTGATAGTGACTCCTCAGAAATTAATCAATCAAATAGTGGTCAAAGTGGTTTCCTCATTCCTCGGCCAAGGCTAATTGTACCAGTGCACACATACGCCAGAAGAAGACGTACTGGTGCACCACCACCCGGTAAAAGACGTCCATTTCGTGAAGGTATTTCGAAAAAAAAACAAAGAATTTTTTCTCATCTAATTTTTGGTGTTTTAAACAGAATGTGATTTACTATTTTTATTTTTATCGGGATATTGTAATGCTTTTAAAATATTGATCTGAGATTTTGTCTGGAAAAGTTTTAAATATGATAAGCAAGAGGTGATATGTATGAAAAGATTTATTGCCGTAACAATAAATGTCGTAACATCAATTGTCGTAACATCAATTGTTGTGATATTAATTAGCGTAACGACAGTTGATGTTACGAGAATTAATGCTACGACAATTGATATTACAACAGTTGACGTTACCCCAATTAATGTTACAATTAATGTTAATACCAATTGACGTTACGCTCATTAATGTCACGACAATTAATGTTACACCATTAGACCCTCACAACAAAAGGATATTCAGGATATCCTTGGGACGTCCTGGGGATATCGATTTTTTTTCGGCGGTTTGGATATCCCTGGGATATCTTAGAGATGTCCATGGATATCCAGAGGATATCTTAGGGATATCCGGATCGCCAAAAGCAAATGGATATCCCCAGGACGTCCCAGGGATATCCTGAATATCCTTGTGTTGTGAGGGGATTAGCGTATAACCTCAATTGTCGTAACATTAATTGTAGTAACGTCAACTGCCGTAATATCAATTGTCGTAACATAAATAGGTTGCCAGACAACACGTAAGCTTGCAGCAACCTTGCGGCAAGCTTACCGCGCAATATTGCCGTAAGCTTGCAGCAACCTTGCCGCGCAATATTGCCAACCTTGCACGGCAAGCTTGCCGTAAGCTTCAAATGTCCCACCTAATCCAAGCCGAAAGATTGCAGTGTAAGCGTTACTGCAAGATTGCACAATAAGATTATCGCAAGCTTGAATAGTAAGCTTGCCGCAAGCTTACGTGCTATCTGGGTTTAAAGGGTGATTTTTTTTATTACATTTTTTTATTGAGAAATT